ATAAAACATCACATCGTCAAACGTCCAGTTGTCCTCCATAAGCTCATCAAGGTATTCGATTACTCTCCATTCCTCCGGCTTCATCTTGTTTTTTCGTCCTCCGCCTTCGTTGCGCTTGCGATCTGAGCCAACCTCTTTGTCACAAACATCCCAGTAGCGTTTCACCCAGCCTCTCAAAGTCAATTCCTTGACCTCAAGCTCGACAGCGGCTTCTTCTAGAGTCTGGGTTATCTACTTTCCAGCGCCTAAGAAGTGCAAGCTTCTCCTTCTCAGTGCGATTCACACACCCGCCTCTTCATTCGGAAAAGGGGGGAAGGGAGGGGGAATTCTCGAATGATAGTCAGCCGTATATGGCCAATCATTTTAGGTATCAGATTTAATCAGATCAAGAGTAAATATCAAATTAACTCGCGCGAGTTATTCTGAATCCACCATTTCAGATTAACTCGCGCGAGTTATTCTGAATCCAGTATTTCAGATTAACTCGCGCGAGTTATTCTGAATCCAGTATTTCAGATTTACTCGCGTGAGTTATTCTGAATCCAGCACTTTGAGGTTAGTATGAAGAACTTCGGGGTTAGTATGAAGTAGTGCGTAACCGACCTACAGCAGGCCAGGGGGGCTGTATGAGGTTCGAACTGCAGTGCTTACATTCCCTAAGCCCGCATTTGTGGCGATACGCTTATACTTGAGCAGTGGTCGTGAGCTTATCCGGTTAACACGAACGCCTAATCAGCCAAGTTGCCTTTCCGTCCATCGTAGCTAGTAGGGGGTTGCTTGTACAGGATGACAGCAGCGAGGCCCAAGACTTATTGACGCCTGAACAGGACAAGCGTGAAGCGACAAGTGCCGAGCACGAACTAAGTCAAGGGATGATCCAAACTACACATGTGGGCTTTATATAACTCAATGGAAACCTCCATTTTGATATATGGAGAGTAGCACATAGTGACCATGTTGCGTTGGCGGCACCAAGTGCTAATAGTTAGCAGGTGCTTCCAAGCCGATGAATTCTAAATTATTAACACGGAAAACGCTGTTGAGAAATCAAGATAGATTCCGGGAGAGCTCGAAAGTGGTTTCGTTACGCGAGCCTGATTGTTCTACCCACAAAACCAGAAACACCTACAGAGTGGCATTCGAATACATACTATGTGAGTCATCAATTATATCGCTTTGTGACGTAGATGTTTGTAGATCTTGCGATATAAGCAAGGTCCAGGAAACAACTACATGGTATCGGTGGCAACAACCAGCCTCCATTTCAACATTACCGACCTTTTGAGAAGTACTTCAGTCGTAAAAGATGTAATATTCGTATAGACACGCAGGTAGCCTCTTGCCAGGAACTAATCTAACAAAAATTGCATGTCGAGGGCCGCCGTGGCCAGGGGGGACGGCCAATTTGGCGTCTGATGGGGACGGGCTCGGTTGGAGGTGGCAAATGCTCAGATGTGGTTGACGTAGACCATACATATGGCCCAGAACTGGTAAATGTTTCTTGCCAAGTCGCCAAACCAGTCTGAAATGAATATGAGGGAGCTGCAGGACTTGGCTGTGCAATCGGCGGATAGAGAGGCTGGAAATGCTGTGGATCGAGCTGGAAAGCCACCCGGTCTGGTAAAGTCGCCGTGTAACCAGTTGGTCTGTAGGCAT